CATGCCCATCACGAGAGGATTCTCCTTGACAGCAGCCAACTCATAACCTTTCACCACCCAAGGGGCGCATGGGGTTGTCAACCGTCGCCCTGGAGGTCCTGGACACGGTAAAGTCACGCGGTCTGGCAAAAGCCGTGATCGAAACAAGGCCAGAAGGGCAAGCGTGTATTGTTTTGCAGAACTTGGATGGTTCGGTAGAGTGCACTCGAACTCTGGATACCTCTCACGGCGTGGCGTTACAGAGCCCTCCAGCCGACATTGGTCGCGACGGTCTGTTGACTTTTTCGATTGCCATTTCGTTTCCTGAACCCAGCGGAATCTCGGCTGGTATGGCGTATTGAGGGATTCAAGCTGCTTCTTCAATTTCTGGCGCTGTCTGTGTGCCTGGACATTGAGCCTGACCTGCTCCCGTCGAATGGCCAATCTTTCGCCCTCGGTGCACTGGATCGCTGGCCTTCCTCTCCGCATGAGTGACTCTGAAATAGGTGGTTCCGAATTGAAACGCTGTGATGGTATTGTTGAACAACTCATCAGCCGAATCCTTCCGCCTCTTGTGCTTTGGATGTGTGCTGGTTCATCTGACAGGCTGATATGTCATCATTGTGTCACCGGGGTGTGTCCTGCAATGTTGGCGTATCGTGCGATTCCCGGTGTTCAGCCTGAAAGAGAGCATGGGGTTCTCGGGGCATGTCAGAGCCATTGAATTGAGGAGATATGGTGGAATTGAGTGAATGGTGGTGGTTACGATTGGACGCTCGAAGTACAAGCCGCATGGTTCTGGCCCGTCGATGCTGACTGCTGCCGAATCACCTGGATTAGGCGCTCTAGACTGTCAGCCGCATCGCCACACTTGTCTGAATTTCAGGCTGCCCATTTGCTTAAAGCGCAAGGATGGAAGGAGGAAGTATGGGCCTCGTTCCTTGTGGTCAGAATGTAGCAGGCGCCCGCGCAAGCAGGCCGTGTTCACGTTTTGATCACGCCGAAACCGATATCAACTTGTATTCCACCCTGCATATACATAGCGGTTCAGTCCGCATTTGGTATCGAGTATTTGGTATTCGGCATGCCCATGTCCGCTACGACTCCTTCAGCCTCGCCAGGGTGGCCTTCCCAGCCCTTGAATCATTGGGTCTGCCAAGTTGTGCGGTGATCCAATGCCCTATCTCCGCCATCTTGACCATGTCGACACCAGTCTCACAGCCCAGGCTATGCAGCAGGTGCAGCAGATCCTCGGTTGCAACATTGCCTGTTGCGCCCTTGCTGTAGGGGCAACCGCCCAATCCCCCAACGGAGCTGTCGAATACCCTAACGCCATGTTCTAGACCAACAACAGTATTCACGAGCGCCATACCATAGGTATCGTGGAAATGGAGTGCGAGGTCCTCATCCAGAATCCCAGCTTCCTTCAAGGTCTTAAGTAGTTTGGCTGTCCGAGGCGCTGTCCCCATCCCGGTGGTATCAGCGACAGAGACTTCGTCGCAGCCCATCTCCAACAGCGTTGCCGTGATTTCCGCCACCTTATGGGGGTTGACATCCGGCCCTTCATACGGACATCCCAATGCCACGGATACGTAACCACGCACCCGGATATTATGCTGCTTTGCAAGCTCCAGTATTGGTTTGGATCGCTCCAGGCTCTCTGCGATGGTGCAGTTTGTGTTTTTCTGTGAGAACGTCTCGGTTGCTGCGGCAAACAACGAAATTTCCGTCGAGTTCGCTGATTGAACTTCAACCTGGGAGGAAGGGGATGTCTCACTTTGACCTTCAGCTTGTTCGGGACGGGGAGATGGCGGTGGGGTAGGAGAGCTCAAGGGATTTTGTGCGCCCTTTCCTTGGAATATTTTCAGTAGATTCTCAAGCCCCCGAATGTTGGGCACGAGGTAGTTGTATGCGATGCCGTGCGGTGCAGGAGGTGGATGCGTCAGTATTGACTCTAGTATCTCTGCTGTTGAGGCCATCTATCAGATATTATGTCAATTGTTCTATCCCTGAACTTCCCGGTTACAGACGGTGACACACCTGCGGGACCCATTTCGCAGGCACAAAGGAGCCTGCCTCCATGTGCGTGATGCCGGTCTGCGCCAGCCGCCGAATAAGCTCGAGCTTTGTCTCCAGAGAGATTGAGCTTTTCTCATTCTGCAGGCCGTCTCTGGGCCCAACTTCAACTATTCTGACGTGGTCGGCAAGGCATTGTCTTGAGGTGCTGAAGCTGCGGAACAAGAGCCTGGAACGAGAGCATGGGAGGCCGCTGATGAGTCTCTTCATCGTGAGGGTCAGCCCGAGAGAGTTACGACGGTTATTGGTAATATGCGTTCCAGGGTTTAAAGGAGGCGTATTTATGTGCTCGAAGAGACCGAGAGCAGAGGTATAATAGAGCAAGTGTCGAGCAAGTCGTGTTTGTGGAGTGGTGGCAGGCAAGCAGGTGAGCGTGGAGAAACTTGTGGCAGCCTCCTCACGGCTAAATACGGCAAAGTGCGGGGAAGCCTTGCCGAGGACGAGGCTGGGGAGAGCGATATCGGAACCAAGTTTTGAGTCGGGATTCTCTCCATATACATGGTATCTTCCGTACATTGAACCATAATGTTTACATGTAGGTACCTGTCGAGCTATCAAGCTTTCAGCTTGAACTGGCCCTTCTCCGACGCATCGAGCCCACGGACAGCCATCACACAAATGCTCGACAGCATCAACAGCCCAAAATCATACCAAATGAGAGTGATAAATGCTTGTGGATGTTTGTCGTCGGCAACCAAAGCACCACCCACTGGTGAGCCCCAGAAGGCGCCTAACCCGCGAATGAAGTAGATGAAGCCATTAACCGAGGCGTATGCCTGAGCGCCGAAAACTTCGATCACCGTGGTCGGGAAAAGCGAGTTGTAGCCTAGCGACATCTTGTGAGCTGTTTTCATGCTTTGTCGTCGGTGGAAACGTACCTCCCGCAAAGAGGCCATAGGTCACCACAAAGGCGATCCACAACCTCATGTCATCCCCATAGGCGCTGGAGAGCCAGAATGCTACAACGGTTATAGCGCTGCCGAGGACACTCAGAACTAGAGTGTTTTGTCTGCCTGCAATGTCGGCGATGAAGCCCATCGCTATCCGACTTATGGTGTTTACTGCATTGTTGATAGAAAGAAGGGCAGCGCCACTAAAACAAGCAGCCCGTAAGATTTTGTCAGTTTGACCGTGATGATACTTACAAGGCAGCTGTATACCCCAACCTCGTACTGAACTCGGGGAGAAAGGTCAACGGGACCAGATTCCCTGCCGCTTGAGCCATCGCAGCCGTCGCCTGTAGGATGAAGGTCGGCCTTTTCGCAAGCCTGATATCCACCAAAGTCGGTCGCTTAACGAGACTCCGCGAAGGGGGCGTTCCCAACACAATGGGAATGCACAATGCAAAATTGACAAGGCCAAAGATGCGTAAAGTCCAGGCAGCACCTATCTTCGCCAGTAAGGCGCGAGCTGCTGGAGCGTAGACGAGGCCTCCTACTCCGGCCGCTGACAAGATGAAGCCCATCGCAGAGCCGCGATGGGCGTCAAAGTACTCTGGTGCCACGGCGAGGACTGGGAAGTACATCAAGGAAGTGCCGATGCCATAGATCAAGCCCTGTGTAAGAAGGAGCTGCCATACCTAGACAAGAGGGCAAGTTAGGATCAGGATAGTGGGGTGATAGATGCAAAAATGTCTCGGACCTTGTGGCAGAAGCTCGCCAGCACATAACCAATTCCGATCAGGACTGCCCCTGCACCAGTAAGCCACCTCGGATCCTTCGATCTCGCCATGAGTGGGTTGACCACAATACTGCCACCCCAGGTCAAGCCAGCAGCGAGAGTGCCCACAAACGCCAGCATTGCTTTACTTGAAACCTCACTTGGCGGAAGGAATGGATCCTTCGAACTGCTTCCTTCGGCGAGATAATAGTTGAGAAAGACCCCGTACGCCTGGTTCAGGCCGATGGTGATGAAGACATCGAAGAAAGCACAGAAGAGGATAACTGTCTGTCGTTGTCGAGAGACTGGTCGCATAGCGGGTTGAGCATTGGCCGGGACCACCATGCGTTCATAGCCAGACTCATCGTCCGCTGCGTGTAATTGAATAGACTCTCGTGGTTCAATCCTAATGGATATGGCTGTGGAAGTACTGGCGGTTCTTCCAGCCATGATGTATCATGTGCCTGCAAGGAGATCAATTAAGAGTAGGAGAGGAATGCAGGAAGCCATGAGCTGGGGAGATGCGAAGAACGAAGGGCGCGCTTGCTCTTTTACAAATTCCCAATGTAACTACGAGGAGAAAGTCGGAAGTCGGAAGTAGATCCCTGCTCTAAACCGCAACGCTGTGAAGATCCCGATGTATCCTGCCCAGAAGGGAACATCAGCGCTCGTGTGATATTATTACTGTTCATACTCATCTTCATATTCGGAAAGCCATGTTTCTGTTAAATCCATGGTCTTCTATGTAGCCACAAGTGCCCTCACAGAGCATACCTAACAGCCCAACCTAATGAATCGTTGTATCGTTGGGCATATCCTCATCCAACCGTGCTTCCCTTTGTTCGATCCTGTTCTTGTCCCCCTGGCTTCTCCTTCATGTCCGTGCTGGCTGTCGCACTCACTTCGTGCGCGTTTATGTGCTGGCCTCACGCTTGCTTCACGCTGTTGTCCGTGTTTGCCTCTTCTTTGTAGCTGGCTGCTTCGAGGCCTGGCCTGTGCCTGGCCTGTCACAGAGACGATTTATTACTTCCTTCATGACGCCGCTTTCGACACGCTTGTTCTTTTTGCACGCCTCCTTCCCCTCCCTCCTTTCGCTGATTCTGCTCAACGTCCTTGTCTGGCTTCGCACGGCCTGCAATTCCCATCGTGCCTTTAATCTACGGCCGGAAACCTTCTCTGTGCTCTGTGTAATCCTCTTTGTAGATTCTCTCGATGGTCTGTCACAGTGAGTCGTCAACCTCCTTCAGTGCTTCCGTCCTCGCGTTGATCAATCTGTTCTTCTTTCTTCAGTCAGAGATAATCTTGTATTTCATGTCCCCTGGCCATCTTTCGAGCCAACTGGGCGGGAACTGAGCAGCAGGTCAGTTTGAGAAGACAAAGAGGTGGAAACGAAAAGCCAGACTGACTTCGAGGTCTCCGGTGACGGCAAAATGTTCCTTCAACTCGACAAATCGGGCTATCAAGTTGCCCCTGTCAATCGTTTCTCTAGTCAACCGTTCCCATTGCTTATGGAGAGTCTCATGCGCCACACCCCGGAGCTTCCAGTCCCAGAGCATTTCATCGCATTCCTCCGCGTTGGCATATTGGTCTAGAAGCGGTTTGCCCGGATATTTCTTGGGCCCTATTGTAGGGGGAGGGTTTCTGCAGCGTTCAAGCAGGTCTTCCATGTACTTCGCGAAGTCAGTTTCACCCGAACTGTATCCGTCTATCTTTTGCTTTTCGTCGTCTTTCTTCTCCCCGTGATCGTTCCGGTTTTCGTTGGCGATTCCATTGCCCCTTGTGTCTCTCCCTTCTGTGAAGCTTGAGGTGGTCACCTAGACGGACTACAACTTTCGATGGCTGATTCAACAAGAGCGAAGAGTTCTGGAGTTGGACTGTTTTCCTGGGTGCGGATTCAAGGTGGAAGGGCCGGTGTCATCACAGAGAAGAGTTGACGCCACGGGCAAGACTAGTTGATCTGTTTGAAGACGATGGTCGAAAGCCCTGAACAGCACCTGCAGTCCCAGTGTTGCTGGCGATATCAGTGCTGATAATTGTTGGTCTTTTGCAGCCAGGGAGGGCTCCGGCCGAGGAGAGCAGGCTCTTCATAAAGGGCTGTGGAGGTGGAGGCTGATCTCCTGGTGGACCTGGCCTCGCCATCGTACCCGGCCGTAAGCCAGAAGCCTCGAATGGGGTGCAAATTGATATATGTATATATATAACGCGACGAAATGTTGAAGTAGCAGAAGAAAAGAAGGGCAGGTAGGGTATTTATTAAAAATGCATCGAGATCGACCGCGTGGTCAATCTTCACGTATATGTAACTGTATCACTCACAATCGCGGCACGCCAGCGAAGTGGAAGCCGTGAAGTGGAAGGTCGCGGAGTGCAAAGCTGGGGAATCGAAAATCCGGAGTCGACAGGGAAGTAGACAGTGATGAAATGGATGGTGGTGAAGGGAAAAGTTGGGGGAAATCCGGAGTAGATCGTCAAGTGAATAGTGAAGGCGATAGCTGTAAAGTGAGAAGCTTGAGCTCCGGGCAGACACCAGTACAAACGGTACTAACCTCCCGCTGCATCATTAAAGGACGCCACTCACAAGAGTGTTGTATGGTGTACGTATGCAGATGGCATGCGGCCAGATTTCAACGGGCATATTTCGCGGTGATAGCGGGGCGTATTCCTATGCCATTTCTGAAAGCTATCAAGGTAGAGGGTAGTAACGTAGGAAAGGTACTCGGTAGATATTGGGGCAGACCTGCGTCAATCTCCCCAGGCACCATGTGCGCGGGCTATTGGGGAGGATAGGGCTCTCAGATAACAAGTCTTCGCAGCAGCATGGGACCGTAGTTGGCTCTATGCTCCAGCTTGACTTCTGAGAGGTTCCATCCAATCGTGGTCTACCAAGGCTGAGCTGGATGCATCCACGGGACACGCATCTGGACTCATAATGTGTGGAAATTCTCTTGCTCCTTTGCTAGATTGAGGCAGCCTGAGCCCCGCATTTTCCAAGCCTCATCCTTTGTCGGTCCCCATGTTGCTAGGCAAGGCTGACAGGTTGGGCTGGAGGGCATCGGCAAGACATAAGAAATTTTGTCGAGAGAGCAAAACAGGGAGAGGATGACAGAGCGCAGATCCATGATGGCGTAGTGACTGTGCAGGTGCCAATATGAGTTGTATTTGCTGGGGGTTTGTATCATTTGGCGGTTGCTTTGGACAGTTCGACACTTGCTCTCACTCTGTAGCAGCTGGTCTCATCGCAGTTCTCATCGCAGGTTGCACAGGTCAATGGGAGTCGTCCAATGCCAAGATCCTAAAAGCGGCGTCGTCAGTCTGGCCAATCAGCGTAGTGGGGCATTGCTGGCGCTTTTGGCCAGTCATTTGCTCTACCTTGTATTAGTCCATGTTTTCCAGGTTGCTTCGCCCACTCTGTGCCTCGAACTGCTCAATCAACTACGCCTTGCTTCTGCCAGAGGAGATATTCAGCCTCACTACATTTTCTGCTCCCACTCGTAGATAATGCATTCCATTCTCTGCTCTGACTTGCCCTCCTCCATGCCTTTTCCCAAGCTCTCCAAATAGCAAAATTACCGTCTCCAGACGCTTTGCGCCAGCCCCTAGATTGGGGTAAAAGGGGGACGAAATTACAAACTGCACAGCCACATCCTGATGGCAGCTGTCACTCTTCGTGCGCAATTCGAGAAAAGTCGGTGACTGTCTCCTCGACCTGACGTTACGTGGGAGTCATCGCGGTGGCCCCCGTCAGCACACCATATCGCACTTGATCATGCCATTAATCGCAAGTTTGGGTGGCGATAGAGAGTATCTTCATCTTTCGAGACTTTTGCGGCAACCCAGATGACGGCCGAATCTCAGCCGATGTGTTCTCTCCAAGAGACCATCCGTACCGGGAAGTTTTATTCCTTGGACGAAACTACATTTCTGCACCAAATCAGGGACGCTTTCTCCCCAGAACTTGAACGACTAAAGTGCGTGAGAGCCGTCGAGGGCACTGAACAGCAACGCGCCACTGCAAACGGAACGGTCGATAGTTTGAGCCCCTCGCAAATACTATATGGGGGCAACTATGACGAAGTCAACCGAACGCTCGTGGGTGTCCTTGCCCTTCGATGGATTCACAATCGTGACTATGAGCGCTTTACTCGGCCGCAACCTCCCGAATCGCGCTTAACAGAGGAATCGTTTGAGTGGCTTCGTGACCTCTTTGAAAGAGGACTTGAGGACTCGGACGACCTTTTTGCCCTGGTGGTGTCGATGATCATTAATGACCTGGGAAAAGACGCCAACCTGGAAGAAGATTATTACTTCCAAACTCACCTTCGCTTAGAGGATCAGAATCATGATTCCATACTGCTGGCAGCAGCTAAAGTTGGAATGATCCCCGCTCTACACTATCTCACCCCGGAGAAAAGACAGGAGGTAATGCTGGGTTTGGAACTCGGATCGGAGCTGAACGCAGGGCAACTAGCCCAAGCCGAAAGTGTGCCTGTGAATCTGGAAGGACTTCTAGCCATGCGAGGCCACGAACACGCGTTCGAACTCAAATTCATGGAGCAAATCCTCGATGTCGCAGGTGCGCTAGGTCATCTCGATCCTCGTGGCTCCAAGAACTTTATCGAACCCGTTTTTCAAGCCTTCAAAACTGTGCACGAGGTCTCTCTCGATATAATCGCTGGAAAATCCAACCCTCGACAGGGGTACGACAAGGTCCTCACGAAACGCGGAAATATGCTTTACATCAAGGGATTTCGCAGACTCAGCGTTAGCGATCGAGAAGACCGGGCACTTCTCCGGTTGTTGACCATGGGCCGGACCACAGACAAAGAACAAGCAGAACTATTCTCTAAAGCGTTCAACGCCCTAGATAAGCGGAACAAGGAGCAACTTGTGGCAGGACTTAATGTCGACGGCAATGTGAATGAGACAGCCGTCTTGCCCTACTATATGCCCGCTATCATATCCACCACTTTAGAAAACACCAAAGATTCCAACGAGGAAACCAAGCGCCGAGCACTTACATCTCTCATGAGATATCTAGCAAAGGTCTTGGGCAGCCCGGGGAATAACCTGACCGGTGTCCCCGAGTATGCGGTCTATGACGGCGAAGTGCCTGGAATCATCATCGAGAGGAATATGTCAAAGGCGCAAGATGTCATAAACAGCCCAGACTTCAAGACTAATCCAGATCTGCTAGATGCGTTGGACATACCAGATGGGCAGATTCTGCAGCGGCGGAGGACCAGTCAGTCTTGGTGAAAGAGGCCAGCAGCCAACCGCCACGATGGGTTCACTGCACCCGACGCATTTGGTCGATCTGCTTTTCCCAAGACCTAGTGGAAATAGACGCAAAGGGCCACATTCAGAGGACCTGAGAAAGTCTCGCAAGGCTTATCGCGGGAGCTTGCAGGCATGATAGCAAAAGATTCAACTGGACCGTCGGTTCGGATGCTAGTACCAGGCAATGTTTCAGACAATCCCGCCTTTACGTTTGGAACGTCTCCAGAATTCTTGCCTGTCCCAAACTATTATCGACACATTTTCCTGGCCGTATCCACATTGTCCTCATACAGACATGCATGCAAGTATAAAGGACCATATCTTTTGCCATGCACCTAGTTGCTACTTCCTCCATCTCGCGAAACTGCACATCTCATCACCACCGCATTCTATCAATCTGACATCTTGACAGAGAAGACAGCATTTCCAAGGACCTCTGGGCGGCATTACCTCACCAGGACCGGCTCTCTGCACGATTAACTGGCTTCTGCTCCGAAAACTAGCTCGACATTCAAGCATCAACTGTTCTCTGGCCACAGCCCTTGCCTTTCAGGGTTTTCTACGACCTCGTCGTTCACCTCCGCCGAAGTCTCCAACTCCAGAAACATGTCGCCCCTCAGCCACAGATCCCTCGATGTCATTCCATCAGACCAGTCTGTCCCATCAACTCCCAACTCAGGTGCACACTACCTCGTCGTCCCTGTCCACCAGAACGTGCCTCGTGGGGCGTCTAGACTTCTCTCCCCGAGCCAAACGTCTACAAATCTCAATCTTCATCTCAACTGGCGCAATGTCCCGGGATACAACTACGTCGAGTCCAGCAGTCTCCTGCACAACGACCCTTCTCAGGCCCAGATCGGTCTTGAAAGCCACCAGAGTCCTACCATCGCCTCCTTTTCTCACCTTCCTGACCAGCAACTTGCTCTGACGACCAGCAGGTCATGGATATACGGCAATGACTACGCCGACCAGCACGACGAGCTCAACCTACTTGAACCATGGGACTCCATCTTTGCCATAATCTTTTTGGTACTGTTCCTCGCTGGGGGGATCTGTCTAGCGCTTTGCCGTCACGAGACCATATATTCCTCCCCCTATCCCTCCTACTCCTCCACCTCCGCGCAGGCTTCCTCTTCCTCTTCTCCCACTGTCTCTTCTACTGCCTCTACCTCAGATGGCACTCATTCAGACGGAAGAGATAGCGCAACAATACCAGGAGGGAAGGGAATCAACGAGGCGTCGCCGTATCTGTGTCTCTCGGCAGCGCATAAGTGCTTGTGGGATGAAAGGACGCCCCCACTTCCAAAGGGGCGTGAGAGACTGAATCTGGAACTGGAATCGGAGTCGAATCATCAAAGAATCGAAAAAGGCGAAAGGAGGGACTATGATACAGTCGCGACCGCTTCCTCGGTGGAGGAGCTTTCGGATGAGCTTGTTTAATCTATTAAGCCCCTGCTCCCGTCGACTGATCAGACGGCCCTGTAATTAACTGGGCAAGTGAGTCCAGCCGGACAAGGACAGAATCTCCGACTCTGATATAGGTGTAGTCTTTCTGAGGCACAGGGGCGAGACGTTGGTGATTGTGGCAACCATGTTCGACAGTGATATCCTACTGTGATATAACAATGCATACATAGCCCTTGATATGTAATAGAAGCACGCGGTATTGGATGCATCGATTGGACGGAATGTGCGGAGAAAAGAGCTGGCGGCGAACATCGCATCTTGAATCGCATCTTCACGTCTACCACTTTTTCTGATATTTCTTCCTCCCTTCATTCCTTTCTTTCCTTGCTGTTGTGATAGATCTTGTCTTGTTCTTCTTCCTTTTTCATCACACCTAGAATGAGCAGTTCTGGCTCTCACCTCTGGACATGTGCGCGCTGTCTTCGGGCCCAGACGCCGCGGGGTCCCTCGCTCGAATACAGTGCCAGCTCGATCCCTCGCCGGCGCCGCAGCCACCCTTTCAGCACTGCCGCAACCCGACCGGACGGTGCGCCTGCAGATCGCAAGTCTGAGAGCTCGCACGCTACGAAAGGCGCCGCCGATCAGGATGCCGAACAGCATCAGGGGGCCATGACCCGCAGACTGGCCGAGATGGCTGAGGAGACGATCGACACGGGCAGCAAGAGCGATCGCAAGCTGATGCAAGATGCCGGCTTTTCGGAAGAATTGAAGCAGCAATTGGAAGAGAGGATCGCGCAGACGAGCTTTGCGGCGCAGAATCAACGGGCCGCGAGCCAAGTCAACATGCCTGTACGAACCCCCTCCATAAGTTTCCGCTCTGTCGTGGCAATAGCAGCAGCAGTATCAGCAGCAGCAGAATAATCGGACTAATAGATATGTGCACTTGACAGAACGCCGCAGGAAAGGGCACACGCGACATCGCGGGCGCAGAGCCCTGGAGAGGTACCGAAGCGCTCGAGGACTCGGTGCTCCGCATGCTGGACGACAGCCACAGGAAACTACGCTCTCCCTCCCGGGCGCCGTCGATCCCTCCAAAAGTCAACCTGCGTCCTGCACCCAAGAAGAACATCTCGGCGGCTGACCGGCTTGCCAGCGCACGGGACAAGACCTCGATCTACGCAATCAGCCAGCAAAGCGACATGACAGAACAAGAGCGCGAGAAGTGGCGCAAGGAGCTGAAAGACCGTTTCTCACCCGGGGCCCGGCCAATGCCTACAAGCATAACGGGACTGACGAGCCTGGCGAACGAGCGGATCGAAGACGCCATCGCCCGGGGCCAGTTCAAAAACATCAGCCGAGGCAAGGGCATCAATGTGGAGAGGGACTACAACGCCAACTCGCCCTTTTTAGACACGACCGAATACTTTATGAACAAGATCATTCAAAAGCAGGAGATAGTCCCGCCTTGGATCGAGAAGCAGCAGGAACTGGTCAAGGCCGTGGCGACTTTCCGGAGCCGCTTGCGCAACGACTGGCGCAGGCACGCCGCGAGGATGATTTCCAGTCGGGGTGGGACCGTGGACGACCAGGTGCGAAGGGCCAAGGGATATGCGCTCGCAGAGGAGAGGGTGAATCCCCGGCCGGCCGGGAGGGTGGAGAATTTGAGCAGCATTGCAAGCGATGGCAATTTGATGACGGTGAGTGTCGAGGAGAGGATCGCCGCCGGCGTGGCCGCTGAGCCCGCCGAGCCGACGCACCCGCAAGAGGAGGAGGTTGAGATCAAAGTCACAGAGCAACCCGCCGAGGATGCTCCAGTCTCGGGCTCCTCGACCACGGATGCTCCTCCGTCAGCTCTTACGAGTACAAATGCCACATCATCTACACCCCCGTCGTCGTTCGCATCCTCATCATCCTCCACCTCACCCGTCCTCCCAATGCCCCACCCCTTCCGCGACGAAGCATGGGAAAAAGCCGAACTGGCATACCACACCCTGGCGATCGCGAACCTGAACGCCCTGACCCGCTCATACAACCTGATGGCGCCCAAGATCGCCCAGAAGCCGTACTACACACTCGAGCGCGAGCTGAGGCGGTGCTTCGCGGACGTAGCGCCGCAGCTGGCGGACGAGATCCACGAGCGCAGCACGCGCCCAGTCAAGATCCACGTCGAGATCTCCCGCCCACGCAACAAGGACGGCAGTGGCGGGAGCGTGTTGGAGCGGTTCGGCGCGGACGAATGGACGGGCCACGAGGGCACGATTCGCGACGAGAGCGGCGAGAAGAGTTATGGCTTTAAGCAGTTTTGGAGGGATTTGTTCGGCGGGGGTGGAGGACCGAAGAACACCACGAGGGAGAGGAAGGGCCATGTTGCGTGAGGCGCCAGGGGGAAACGGGGAAATGAGATCGAGGGTGGCCACTGGTGACGAAACACTTAAAATATGCTCCGTATATCCCTAGCAAGCCGTATAGAAATGAGTCAGTCTGTCACAGGCGAAAAAGCCCCGGTCCACGATATCATGCATGCCAATTGGCCTAGACCGCGTGTTATATACGAGGCACCTAGGGAATTAATCAATCGTTCGTCGTTCTCTATGCATACATCAACTAACCACATAGCTAGAGTAGCTAACCAACGGCCCTCGCAATTCGCAAATATCCCTTGTTCAGCCGTGGCTTGCCCTGCATGGCTCCTCACTCCTCGCTAAAAGTCAAGAACAAGAATACCCAGCTTGCCAGCGCCACCCCTCAGTCCGACATTCGACGTCCTTTTTGAATCCAAATGGTTTATCTTCTTTATCCATGATATATGCTCATAGCCAAATCGTAATCGTGTTTCTCCTCATCCAGGTCTGTGGAGAACAATGCAGGCACAGCCCATGTTAGTCGCACACAGAGCTCGTGTCATGCCCAAGCTGATACAGGAAATCCAATTGAAGAGCCGAGAAAAACTTCTCACAGGGAGCGATCATGCTCTCTCCCCTCATTCAAAACAGCGGGATATCCTCCAGTTTCAGGCCCCGCTTGCGAAGCCGAGCATGAAGAACGTCTTCATCAGCATCCAGCCAATTGTCGCCCTCGTCATCGTCCTCAAGTTCCTGTTTGATGCGTGGTGGGCGACCGGGATCGGCTTCCTCTTGCTTGACACGAGGGAAACGGATATTTTCGGAACGGTCATTTTCAATCGACGATACCGTGACATCTGCAGCGACAAGAGATCGATGATCGTGCTGCTGGGTGCGCTTTCCACTGACATACACAGCAGTGGTGGCCATGCCTGAGTGGTAAGAAGATCCGTAGTCCAGCTGTTGGTATCGACGCTGTCCACTAGCGTCCTAAGCGGTGGCGGCGACGTCGTTGAGCTGCTTGATCCACGAGTCGGGACTCTGTCCCACTCCGTCAAGCTTCATCATCTCCGCCGTAGCGGTCCCCTGGTCTCCTTTGGCCCCGTTCTCTGGTGGCTGTCCAGCGTTGTTTTTGGTAGGTGAATGGTTCTCCTTTTCTTGTGCGACCTCATGTAAACGGTCAGGGTGACCATTGGGGCCCCCGATTCTTCCATCCGTCCTCCCAGTCGAATTGCCACCGCTGAGTTGCGGCTCTTTTCTACGGCGGCTCAATTTTGCTAATCTCTCTTTCTCCCTTGCTTGCGCTAGAGCGATCTTTTCCTTCATCAGCTCGAGTCCACGCTGGCGATCCGCCAATTCCTCTCGCAATCTCTTGCGTTTCTCCTCGCCCGTCCGCCCTAGGCGCCTGTTCATCACGCCGTCATCGACGAATTGTGTCTTCAACACCATAAAACTCACACCGTCATGTGGCGCTTGGTGTTCTGGGGAAGATTCTGCACTAGGTCCAGGCCAACTGCGACTCTTGATCCCAAAGCGAACGCTGTCGGCGTAACTTTCCAATTGAGGCAGTACAACCAGAGTGATGTGCAGATCCTTCCCCTCTGGCACGGCGGCTGGCGTTTCCGGCGCCGAAAGACCTTCGATTCTGGGATTTTGCTCGTCAATCAGTCTGTTCAGGAGAGTATCCTCAATGTGGGCAGACTCAATGAATCCAGAATGCATCGCAGCAGCTACAGGATCGGAATCATCAGTGTAAATGCCTGATCCCCACAGGTATTGTTCAGCGCCGATGAGATTTCTCTCTTTCCGCTGGAGCCACATACTTGATACCTTGACTGTATAAGTGCAGTTGATCTGATCCGGGTCCTTGAAGGAAGGCAGTAGATTTGGTCGGATGGAGACGTCGAACTTCTGCGGCTGCGGCCGGCTGTAGTCGGGCACACCTACCATAGGTTCGTATTTGAAGAATCCAAGATGACGACGTGGGTTTCGTCGAGCTTGCGCCACGACCGAAGATATTCTTATAACCTTCTTAGGTTTGAAAGTCGAGGTTCGTCCTGCTGCTGAAGACGGACGCTGAATCTGCGGGTTTTGAGAAAGTTGCGCCGGATTGGATGTTGGAGTGGCTGCTCGTCGAATAGGATTGGATGTGGGAAAGGGAACGTGCCTTCGCGGTCCCGGAGTGGTGGTGTCTTCAAGCTCCAATTTGTAGGAATGCGAGTACTTGCTTCTTTTGCCTCGCCCGGGACCCGGCTTCTTTACATCACCCACGTCGCTTTCGGCTCTAACCTCTTCGTCCAGAGCCTTGCGATTGCGTTTGCTAATTCCCGATGTACTTCGGGACATCTTCATCAAATTTTCTTCACTCAGGCGAGCACCACCCTCGTCCCGCTTGAACGGGCTCGCGGGTAAAGTCTGGGGTGCGGGAGCTGGTCCAGAAGAAGTAGAGCCCAACCCACTCCCGATACCAGCAAAAACTCGGCCGTGCTCACTTTTGATACCAGCATCGGGTACTGGAGTCTGGGCTTGGGCGCCTTGCACTGCTTGAGGTACAGGTGAATATCTTCCACGTTTCGATTCGTTTGCCAAGCCGAGAATGGCTCTGTGTTGCGATAACTCTTCGCTTCCTTTGCGGACTTGTTCTTCCAAAGGCCCCGATGCGACCGACCCGGCAAAGGGGGAGTAGGCTCGGTTAGTACGCAAGCGGTCGCCAAGGACCGATCGATCGCTTTGTGACTGAACCGAGTCTTGTCGCATCATGTTTGGCGCACCGTATATTGGCTCCCCTTGTTGATTTAGTATCCCTGCCAGCCGACCCTCGCCACCATTCACGTGAGGGCGCCTTATTTCTGGAGAGAGAGATTGGGTCGAGGGCCGTTCGTGCTGAACAGACACTGGTTGCGGTGGAGGTCCTGTCTGTGGAAGACGAGATAAAGTTGACAGGCCGGGTGGCCGAGTGTCATAGGGCCCGGTCAACCCGGTTGAACGTGGAGGATCGTGGCCGCTCATTGGTTGTCCCCCGGGCCGATCGATCGGTGGAAAAGAGGGAGGTATACTCTCTGGTCGAGCGGGTGGATGCGATGTGGGCGGGAATGGCGGCGAGATGTTGGTCGGCGGAGGCTGACTTTCCGGTCGCTGCAGAATGCCACCTAGACTAGTACGACGGGCGCGATCGTCAAATTCATCCTTGGGCATTACCGCAGGACCAAAAGGGGGAGTGTATTTTGGTTCGGGAAAAGGATTCATGTTTGGTTGGCTTGGTCCTGAGCGCGGAGGAGGTTCGTAGAATGGCCCAGGTCGCTGGGTCATGGTTCCCGAACTTGAACGATGAGGTCTTCCCCCCAGTGCTGTTCCGGCCATTCTGTCAGGCGTCTTCGATCTTGGCTTATACGAGTATTCACTCGTGCCCTGTTTGGTCGGGTATTGGGGCGGTGACATGACTGCACCCAGTGACATGGATGGTCCTGGATGCGAAAGCTGCCCCGAAGGTAGTCTGGAGGGCTGGTTATGGTTGTGATATTGGTCGTGAGCCGGCTTTTCTGGTTCAGAGCCCAACATGGACGAAATTGACATGCTACTTCCTGGTCTCTTGTGCGGAAGTGGAGCTCCGGAATTCGCTGCCATCGCAGCAGAGTTCGCTGGTAAAGGTGGTTGAGAAAATCGGGGAGGAGGGAAATGTTGTGGAGATGGCGGTAACATTGTGCGAGGGACGCCGTACATCGTCGGAGGCTGCTGAGGTTCGGAGTAGCCTAGACAACCTGGTCAGAATAGGTATGCGGAAAGCAGTGAAGTGTGGTAGTGTGGAAGCACAGCATAGAGGAATAGGTCGTCGCATGATCACGCAGACCTCAGCGCACCCTGATTATTGCAGGAGAATGGATCCACGAGGAGTGAAGGCATACCGGTGAAAGAGCGCGGAGGACTCGACGGTCCGTTAAACGCGGGTGAATGGCCTGGCATTGCCATGGTGGCCGGATGGTGAAGTCGTGGTAGAGGTGAAGGACGGAGGACTGCGAGATGGTGGTGATGATCAGCAGGGAGCAGACGCTGGTCCAGCAAATAATGATGCGGAGGCTGCGCAGAATTCGAAGTGGATACTGGCGCGACTGGAGTTGGAGAGCATGGAACAAGACGTTAGCGATGCATGAAGATGATGCCTATTGCGGCAATGGCAAGCCCAGCATAGCACGATGGTTTGGTTAGATGGTGAGTGCGGAAAGGGGACAGTGTGGAGGATGGTGCATCATTTGCACTGTGGGTGGATATGGAGATGAAGGATGAAAACAAGGACGAGGATGGAAGGAGGAAGAGTGATGGTGATGAGATGGAAAGAATCGAATCATGCGAAATGTGGTGGTGGTGGATGGTGGATGCGGTGTCGCCAACGAGTTTGGAGTGGATTGGGGGGGTGGATCTATCATCTGGCGCAGGGCCTGTGCAGGGTACTCGGTACTGTACAACGCCTACTGGTAGCTAAGTGGCTAGGGGCCAGGGTGCGAGCTAGAGCTGGAGCTGGGAAGCCCAGAACAGCACGCCAACAGCTTTCCGAGGCAAGCTTCAGGCAGGCAAGCAAGCAGCAAGCAAGGGGCCCAGCAAGGAACAAAGTAGCCCTGGAAGGAGCTTAAGTACTTACCTAATAGGTGCCAGCAGTACCCAGTAGTACCTAGGGGTGCAAAGAGAGCCTCCTAGGGCCTGCTAGGGCCTTACCTACAAGTACAAGTAGGTGGGTATGCTCGACCCGCCTCCCCCCAAACAAAGACTCGGGCCGCAAGTCGCCCCCTCGGACCACTCATATACGAGTCCCTTCGAGAGGTCGGCTCATGCACCCAAAACAGGGATCCAGATCAGAAAGGGCTCAGCTGCAGGCGGCAGGCGGCCTACCCTGCCTACCCTGCCCAGCCTGCCCTATCCTGGGCCTTGGTGGCTGCTTGAAGACGGTCATGATCGTTTGGCGTCCAAGGCTCCAAAGGGGCGTGCCGGCGTGTGGATGCGCCTCCTCTTTAGCCAGAGGCCGCTGGCCCAACCCATTCAAAGTCTATCTTGCCAATGACGTCCTTCCTTCGCAAGGGTTCTGGGCCCTGGCCAGGGTCCCTGTCGTTTGGGGGGAGGCGGTGGGCAATGTGGTATGCGGTATGCGGTATGCGGTTTGAAGGCGGTACGCGGTACGCGACGAAGGCCACATCCTCGTGTCGGAAACACTGTGTTCTCGTACTTAATATAGCTGATAGATCGCTTCTTTGGGATTGCTGTCCGGTGTTTGATCTTCGACATGTGTCTAAGCTGCTGCTCGTGGCTGCTTCTGTGGGTTGCATGACATTCCAGCGTCTGCACGCTGACAAAACTAGGGGCACCAGGGGGTCTGCGGGAACTTGGGGAACGTGCACGGAATGGCACGCATTGGGTTGGACCACCCCAAGACTACCCTCCGGAGTAAATATATCTCCCCTCCCATTGGTACAGCATCGAGGCCTTGGACGCTGACAATCTCACAAAGCACAGCATTTTGCATATTCACTCAAACACACGTACCTGGTCCTGTATCATCGTCATCATTATAATCATGTCGATCACCAAATCGGCTGTTTTCTGTTGCTTGCCCCCTTCCTCCAAACTCTCGATTGTCCGTGGTGCTGACGATGAGGGTGTGGTCGCAGTAGTCGCGTGTCATCAAGCCCACCATGTTGGGGTGTCAGACAATGTAATTTCTCCGGTATGGAAGGGAGGTCTGCGTCCGTCGTCACAGCTCGCCCGATCATACCATCCTGTTCTCGAGATTCTGACTCTGTCTCGGTTGCCGCGCCTGAGATCCATCTCGTTGGCTTGCGCCACAATGGCTGAATTCTCCGACCCCCGGTCGCCTGCGATCCCGGATTTGATTCGTTGCGCAGCACAGATCCCACGATGGGTGTCTCTGCTCGTTGCTCCGTCGCGTGCTAAGCGAAGCTGAACTCTCCATGCCACATCGCGATGTCGATGTTTCTTTCTTTTTGTACTCGTGCTTCTTGGCCAATACCCCAGTACGAGGAACGTTGCTAACAAGCGAGTCGGTCATGTCCATTGGCGGTGAAAGAGGACAATGGCGCGTATAAGATACGTAGGCCTGTACTCAAACAGAACGCAACCCTCGAGCTTATCGCTAAGCAGTCTGAGAAAAAGAGTGGTGGACAAATGGTGAGACGTAGTCAGTATTGAGCACAAAACCCTTCAGCAACCTGGAAAGGAGCTCTATGTTTTCTACCGCTGCGGCGCGGCATCGGACGAGCCCACAGAGTTAGTGTGCGTCCTGTGCTGAGTATCAGTCGTCATGATCTTATGAAGTTTAGTTCTGGTCTGACGCTGGGATGGATGGACCATGATAATAGTGGTTTGTGGCTAAGATCGCATATAATTGAGTTCATCTTCGAGAATGACAGGAATGGTTCTAACCCAGGTCCCTCAAAACAAGTCAAATACGCCTGCCGCCTAATCGGCCACTCAGTATACAAAATGGCATATCCAGGACAAGCATCACGGTACAAGTTCGTCAAAGTAAGACCGACCTACCCATTCCATACCCTTTCTGACTTGCGTCACAACTTCTTACAATAATCTTTCCCGTGTTGAACTTGCCAGTTGCATAACCACACTTCAAACGCCATGCCGATGAACCCGGCAATACAAATGCCACCCGAGTCGCTGACCGTGGTTGCCGACAAGGAAAATTCGCGGTCCTCTTTGGATACCGTTTCGCTGATCTCGGCAAAAGTGTTGACGTAGACTAGGCCGCCCAATAAGCCTTCCCAGAAAATAATTGCAAAGATCATATACACATTTGGGATGAAGTCGAACAGCGCATGTAGGGTCAAGATGATCAAGTTGACCACTTGCAAGAACGACGGCAGATATAAATTGTGAATGCGGAGAAATGGCGTCGAGGACCGAGATATGAATACCCCTGCTTGGTATATCGCATTATAGGTCGGGTAAAAGGCTCGGAAATGTTTGAAAGGGCTCCTCTCGAGGGGAAACAGAAGAGTCGGCGACACCCCCTGGTTGATGGTATACTCGGCCACGTATACCATGAGTAGGGGTAGCATGTATGGGAAGAATAGCCCTTTGGCTCGGGTCAAATTATATTTGAACAATGACCAAGCAGACATCTTGGATTTCATGGAAAAAGGCGGCTTAGCGGCATCTGGCGAGGAAAGAAGCCCCTCTCTTTGCTCTTGGTCGACATTGTCGTCATCCCGAAACAGTAGTGCATTGCCGCCGTGGTGGTGTCTCCTGGATTGTGACCGAAGGGTCTCTAAAGGGAGGACAAGGAAGAAGCTCACCAGCATAACGGCTGGTAGGCAGGCGGAAGCCAATAAGGTTGTGCCGACACTGAGACCGAGGGTTGTGGTCGCGAGGGCATATGCTCCGGCTCCTATCAATCCAGCACCCCCAGTGCCACTCCCCCACGCTGCGAGCCCGAAAGGACCATAGTAATGAACGAGACCTAGAAAGCTCAATTCACCTCCGCCGCTGCTCAATGATGCCAGAACCACCCCGGCCAATTTAGTGGTTATTGTTCCCCCATCTGTGTAACCGGGTGTCAGGGCGATCAACAACATGCCCACCACTGACAGAGCCACAAAGACCAGGATTCGGATCGAGTAGGGGACAACATGAATGAAGTACGGGGCGCACAGTTTGACCCCAAACGAAGGGATCACGTCGGCAAGAAGGACGACTCCTTTGGGGACATCGGGACCGACGAGGTCAAGGGCTGCGGAGAGGATGATCACGTAGAGGACATTGTTGATCAGTCCTACGCATCTTTAGTCTCTGCATATGACAAGCTTTTGACTCGTGTTGACGAAATTGGAGTACACAATGATAGTATTGCGCCCGATTCAACACGGGAGGACTTACCAAAGAGCCAGAAAGCGACACAGACCCTAGGGTCAGCACCGCTGAAGGTTTGCTTGAGGCGTCCGATGAAAATCGCCCATGAAGACGAAGGAGAGCCGGGGAGAGGCAGTGCCATCTAGTCTGGAGGTCGAGACTATTTCGCCATAGACAGAGGCTGTCCTGAACATGGACGGGGACGTTGCGAATGCTGTAGTGCGTTACAACACTGCTCGAGATAAGGTGCGTCACGGTGGACTCCGTGGTGGTCTGTGGCATGTCAAGGCTGGCGACATTTAATTACCCAGTACACCCGACTCACCTATTTAGGGACGAAGGCTCGCCGCCCTATCTGTTCAGCTACTCACGTGATCCAGGAGATATCGATTGCTGACTGAAACCTACAAGGCTGTGACTTCCCTGCCTTGGTGTCCACCTTTGGACGCTTTATTCCAATCTATTAAAGTCGGTTCAATTTCGGCTCAGCCTTGCCTGCCCGCCACGGTGACCAGGGTGGCTTCTGTCCATTGCGAAGATACGGAGCGCTCCTGTACCTGAGCTCGGCATCCCATAACCTCATCAACAGAATCAACATATAGCGCGAGAAAAGAAATCCGTGTTTGGATAAACAAGATCCGTGCAACTTTGGCAATAGACCTCATATACGGTATAGACAATTATCTGGGATGTGTGTCTAGAAGCCTGCCACAAATCATTGCAATCAAGGTCAAGTCTGAAGACCAAATCTGATCAGAGATTGAAAAAAATACGGAGCCCCTCATGCGCCATTTGAGTTGACCGCCTTGCACTCCCTTAGAGCTGCGGCAGCGGCCTCACGACCGGCGATACGGCCAAAGACAGCGCCCTTGGTCAATCCGGATCCCCCTGGGTAGTTGTGATAGAAGAGACCGCCAACAATCTCACCCGTGGCCCAGAGCCCGGGCATCGGCCGTCCCTCGTTGTTGAGTACGCGGGCCCCGACGTCTGTGGCGATACCCCCATATGTGAAGGTGATACCACAAGCCACCGCGTAGGCGACAAAGGGTGCCTTCTCGATCCTGGTGGCCCAATTTGTCTTGGGAAATGGCAGCTTCGCCGCGAGAGACGTGCTTAGTCCATCCAACTTAGTGGGGTTAAATTTACCGACGTCTCCAGAGCAGGCAGCGTTGAAGGTCTCGACTGTCTTCAGCAGGCCGGTGGCATTGACGCCCATCTTCCGAGCGAGTTCTTGGATCGTATCGGCGTAGATGGGTGTCGCGGTCTGGTATCGCTTTGGCAGTAGGTGGATGGTCTGCTGGTCAAAGATTTGGAAGGCCCGGGCTTCGGGCTGATCGGCAATCTTCTTGCCGGTCTTTGCGTACGTCTTGCCAAAGTCGTCTTCCCCCTCGTCAAAGAATCTCTCTCCATTGATGTTGACAGTGATGCCGTACGTGTACGCGTACCGCGGCATATGCACGGAGACGTTGATATCACCCGTCAGAGGGCCATTAGCGTCCTGGGGAGAGGCATGGGCAGCACCCCAGTGTCCGGCAGGACGAGCACCTGCGGCAATGGCGCGGTTGAGCATCGTGCCCATGTTGTATTTGGTCCCACGCACGAGAACCAGGTCCCAGCCTTCTCCAAGGTATTGGCGGCGCATTGCCGGGTTAGATGAAAAGCCACCGCTGGCGAGAACCACCTTGCCATAGACGTCGGTGAAGCCCTCGCGGTGCCGGACTTTGACTCCGTGCACTGTATCTCCAGTGGCGATGAGGTCGTGTGCCGGGCTCTCATACCAGAGGGTCATTCTCCCTTCAGGCACGAGGCTCTCAGCTGCGGTCCACCATGCATCGGTGAGACCTACACCGCCACCGACGGCCATGATGGCGGCGCCGGCGTTCACGTGGATAATCTCCCCTCTGGCCGCAAGATTGTCAACGTTGAGGTACTTCCTTATCATCAACTCCCACTTGTGACCCTTGGACTTCATCCATTCCAGAGTTTCCCAGCCCTGCTTGACCAAGACCTCAGCGATATCCTTGTCCAGACGGCCGTGGGAGGCCTTGGAAAGATCTTCGAAGTACATTTCTTCGGTGTAGGGACCAATGGTACAGAGCTTCGTGTCGTCCATGGCCTCTTCACACAGCAGGGTCTTGACATGTTCCAACCCCTTGTGCGGTGCCCGGAAGACTGTGCCTGCGAAGCGACTGTTGCCGCCACGTTCTTCCTTGGGGGCAGCTTCTAGGACAAGCACGCGGGCGCCACTGTCATGTGCTGAGATGGCCGCTGCGAGGGCCGCATTGCCGCCGCCTACGACAATGACATCGAAGGTGTGGACAGATGCTGCAATGTTTGCAGGCGTCGCGCTTCCCATGACGGATCAATTACAGTCCTCACAAGCGGTCCGTGTAAACTGTTCGACTTCTGTATGATTATGAAATCGGCTTGGAATTGAATGGTCATGCTGCTTGAGTTTATAGAACTTGAGCTTTTCAATGGAAATTCGGTATCACCTAGTTTCTCCGTATATAGCTCCTTCATTCAATCCGCTTTGCTTTGGCCTCGGGGAATGCTAAGGAGCACATTGCGCCTCAGAGTGGAACCGACAGTGGATTGATCAATATCACTAGAAAAAAAAAAAAAAGACATTAGCCCCCTGCTGGTAGGCCTAAACCGACTGGCTCGGGACCTTGACTCCTGGCCGCGGTGCGGCCTGTATTCGAGAGCTACACGGACAGGTTTGCAGCCGCGATGCGGACCGCTACCGGAATGTATAGGGTAGTGAGGCTTGAATACCCGTTGCATACCCCCCGAAGATGTATTTATCGGTAGTGGCGAACGAGCTCTTGCCCAGCAGGCAGGAAGGACTAAGAGAGTCTGGGCTCCCCTGATATCAAATTCGGACCATCGCATTGGACTCCTTGTAGCCGGGAGTAAACCTGTTTCAACGTGTATATCATGAGACTACAGCAACACTTTTCCGGCCACTGTCTTCTCTACGCTTGGACACTGAAATTGCAATGACTGCAAAGATATCCTGCATCCATCAACGAAGACACATTCTGTTCAAATCTTTGCACAGAACAAGGGGCTGTTGTTGGTCGGAAGGCTATTGTTCTCGTTGCTGTTGCCGCTGTAATCCGAGTGCAGTTCCATGCCGTCCAAGTTTGTAGCAATCAAAGTTGAGAGTCCTCCTTCGTCCCAAAACCACTCGTTATTATTCTCATCAACTAAGCCCATATCCATCTCTCCAAACTCTTCCAGCCATGCTGATGTGGAGCGTGATAAAATCGGGGCCTTGGTGCCTTTTTGAGGTGCATCAGTCTGAGCAATGGAAACATTCGGGTTAAGGGGTTGTCCCTCGGTTCTTTGAGCGCAGGTGGCATCTGTGTTGCCACCAGCATTTATGTCAAATGAGACAGGCGAAGAAGGGCCCTGGCTCTGGTTTTGTGAGGATGTGGCGGGTCTGCTGGAAGACTGCCCTCCAAACTTTTCTCTCCATCTCCAAAGGGTATCATGAAGCAGACTAGCGCCTAAGCGACTTCTCACCTTGAGCCCCGGTTGTAGATCAGCGGGTTCCGTTGTGGTCCCCCAAAGTTGTGCAAGCATCTTTGAATATCTTCCTGGTAGATCGTTGTCTTCAATAGAGCACTTCCGAACCAGGCTCACCCCAAGATTGAATGCTTTGCGTCCCTCGTCCACATCAACAAACTGCGAATAGTAGCCACCTCGAAGGACTTTCAGGGCAATATTACAGGCATCAGAAAGAGCACGGGTGAATATCATCGGACCACAGGTCAACAGCCTACAATGCCCTTCTCTCTCCTGACATTTCCAAATGAGATTGAGCGCCGCCCGATATGCTTTAAGAATATGTTCTTTCTGTCCTGCTTGGTGAGTGCGTTCTAGGAAATAGTAACTCCGGAGCTGAAGTGTGGCGTAGAGAAATACGATTTCGTTCGTCTCTGTGTCTCAGTTAGAGTATTTTTGCGAGGGTCACTCAGAGCCTGCGGAGATGTGACTCACTCGATAATTCCGGTCCAAGCACACATCGGAGATCTTTCAATTCGGACTCGTATAGAGGGAGCAGTACTCCGCTATCATTCTCTCCAAGACTGACCATTCGTCTTTCTCGGCTCGCCATAACTCTGTGGAAGCGATTGCAAAATCGTGTTATCAGAACCATATGATAAATCTCTACAGGGAGATCACCGTGGTTGTCGGAAGTGCATATCATGTCGAGTGTGGCATCAGTGACAAATAAAGGAAACTGGCCAATGTAGGTCGTTATGCTGTAGACCATGTTAGATGGATGATAGACCGGGAAAGAGACAAATAGGTGGTAAGTACTTTTCAGCCGCTATGAAGCATCCTGACCACACGAGAAGGGCGTCCCTCAATTCTTCGGCACTGAACCGACACTTAACTCGTGAAAAGTCTTGCACGAAATACGGTTTGTGTAGTCCAATGTGCATTGCGCTAGTCTTTGCAACGGATGCCAATATGAAGGAAGAATCGGTGGTCATGGAAGAGGTTGGGAATGGCCAGAGGCAGATCAAGATCATGGCCTTCAGTTCGAGGCGAGAATGCGGAACTTTGGGAACCGTCTGCCACAGCAGGCCTTGCACAGCTTGTGAAAGGCTAGTGAGCATGGTGGGTTCCTCTTCATCTCTTCTGGAAGCGATGGCAATGATGGCCCAGAAAAGCAACGGAGAATTTGCATAATAATCGTCAGGTGAGCCGTCTGCCTCAACGACGGGCATAAATGGATTATATTGGGAAAAGAATCTCCATTCACCATGTGAGCCCATGTCTTATTTATTTGGTGCATACTCACATCTGAAAAAACCTGTCTATCTGACCAGGCGAGACCGTCACATTTCCGAGTGTCTGCGGCTTGACAGCTGGGAGCAATTTCACTTGAGCCAGAACGCGAGGTTCGTGAGATTGTGAGTCCCTCAAGACAGGTGGGGAGACCGAGGCCACCGGACCAGTACGAGATTCACAGGAGTTTGGCACAGGGCCAATTGCTCCTTCACAGTCCAGCGGTGAGCAGGAATCGTCAAGTACTGGCGGGGATTCGTGTATAATCTGAGGTCGTGCTGCTCGTAGTCGTTCGACTTCTTCCGTGAGTTCTCGCAGCTTCCTGTTTCCATTAGCCGCTCCATGGCAGGTGCCTTTGGGAATGGACACTATGACCTACACGCGTTTATTGTGTCTTTTATAGTCAGTGTCATAGACACACGACAACCCGAGACCTCGACAGCGAGTGCAGACTTGCTGGAGACTTGAGCTCTCGCACCGTAACTGGCGAAGAGCAGGTCAGTTCTCGGGACACGACACTAGGTTCCAGGTAGTAGCCTGGAACTTGCACGAAGGCTAGGATGCACCACTCACCTTTCCTTGGCGGCATTCCCTGCAGGCGACTCGCTTGCGCTTTGTTGGTGCTGGACGACTTTGCCCATGAGCCGGCTGGTTGTTGCCACGTGATGCTATGCGTACTAGTGAGGCTGTGCCAGTCACAAAAGCTGGGTTGGAACTGCTCAACTGAGCGTCCATTGCTACATCCTCAGTTCTCAGTTCTGATCTGGCACTGCTGAAAACGGCTGCTAATTGGAAGGAAGTGGGGATGTTTTGTTCCAGCAAAATGCCGTGGAACCTTGTGGGTGAAGAGTCTGGAAAAGTCTAACAGACAATTTTGGGAGGACGAAGCAACGAACGGTTGGTGACCCAATAATACAATACTAGGTTTGTTTGAGGGAGGAGAGAGGAAGGAGAGTGACAGCGACCGAGAGAAAAGGGGGGTCAATGCGGATGGTGGAGATCCCTAGGCCGGCCAAGGCTGGCAGGTGCTTGGAGCCAATCAGGCTCAATGCCGCATACCGGGCCGATCAGCATCCTTGGCGTGTATACAGTTCTGTCGGCGTTGAAGGCGACGACCTCTGACTAACACATTCCCTATGACTAGTCCGACAAGGCCCCCTACCTCCTACCGGGGCGCTGGGTTATCCCAAACCCGGAAAAGGTATGTCGCGGGGACTGCCAGGTGGTATATTCTGGGGTATCCGGAGACTCGGGGGATTCCAAGATATCGGACATGCTAAGTGACCTCAGCCTGGGCATCTTGAAGGTGGTCGAGTATAAAGATCCCCCTTTTCCGTAGGAGTTTACTCACATACGCATCCCCCGTCGTCTGCCTTTTTGTCCATCTTACATCTCACAAAGCTTCAAAACTCAAGAGCTGCCTGCACTTCCTGGCTGGACAAAGGATAAGTCACTCCAGCATCATCCAGCATGCAGGACCAAGCCGCCTCCAGTTTTACCAAGCAGGAGACTGGCACCAACATTGAGATGCTCGAAGACGCAGCAGAGTATCACCGCCCTCCCTCCAAGAACAATAATGCCTTCGCTGGACATGCTCAACTTGGCCAGATCCAGCAGAAAGCGGAGAAAAGGCTCGTCCACAGGCTGGATCTGATCCTCATTCCACTGGCCTCCCTCATCTTTTTCGTCGCCTACCTCGACCGAAACTGCATTGGCAATGCCCGTCTGATGGGCTTAGAAGAAGATCTGTCTCTCACACCAAATCAATTCTATAATTGTCTGGCAGGTGCTCCTAACCCCATGTTTTGACACATGAACCCACCATAACTAACAATTCTTCCTCGACGCTCGTGCCAACAGACCATGTTTTTTGTTGGCTACATCATTTGCATGTTGCCGGGAAACATCTGTCTCAGAATGCCCTGGGTGACAGCGCCCGCCTTGATCGGCGGCGGTGTCTTGACTTTTGGCGCCTTCTGCACTGGTATTGGCGGTGCCCAGAATTACGCTACTGTCCTGGTCCTGAGAATTCTGGTCGGGTGTGCTCAAGCTTTCATTCAGGGCTTGGGTCTTTACCTATCCTTTTGGTACAAGAGAAATGAGATTGCTTCCCGAAGTGGTGAGTCGTTCAATAAGCTAGCCCGGCCGATCTGACATGTTGAATTAGCTGTCTTTTATTCTGCTGCAACCATTGCCGGCGCATTTTCCGGCCTCATATCCTACGGCATTCTGAAGCATCTAACTCTCGAGAGCACTGGGCTCGAACCATGGAGATGGCTTTTCATCATCGAAGGCATCATGGCGGTGGTGGTGGGCATAACTGTCATCTTGGTCTTCCCCAACTTTGCCGACCGTATGAAACAGTTAAAGACATGGCTGTTGAGTGAGGTCGATCTCAAACTTGCGATTGAGAGGTCTAAGGACTATAACACCACTGGAGCCAACCTTGATGTGAGGCAGATCTGGAAATGTCTGAAGGATCCCAAATCCTGGATGCTCGCAGTCATCAACGCCGGCGTGTCCCTTGGTATTGCATCCGTCGGCAATTTCCTCCCAACTTTTGTTCGGTCTTTCGGCTACTCTGCAGGTACGACAGGTTTCCTCCCATCTCTCAATCTTCCTTCTATTTGTCTCGTCGAACCAGCTGCTAATCAAATACACCCACTGTAGACAAGGCACAACTTTTCACCGTGATTCCATACGCCTGCGCTGCTATCTTCCTGATTGCAATTTGCTTCCTATCCGACAGATACAACACCAAAGGCCCGTTTCTCATCGTCACCCTCTCAGTCTCTTGCGCTGGCTACATAATACTCCTTTCCGTGCGCTCCGTCCCGGTCTTGATCTTCGCCACCTGCCTGATCACAGCTGGTCTGTACCCGAGCGTGATCCTGCTGACGTCGTGGCTCGGCATCAACACCTGCGGCTTCACCAAGCGCGGCACTACCTGGGCCATGGCTGAGGTCTTCGGACAATGTTTCTCCATTATGGGCACGCACGTTTACGACCATCCACCGCGCTTCGTCAAGGGACATTCCATCGTCCTGGGTATGCTACTTGTTGCCATCATCATGGCCACGTCGAATATCTTCTGGATGAGCTATCAGAACAAGCGCAAGGAAGCGGAGATGGAGCGTTACCGTTCCTCTGGCGAGCTCCATCCACACTTTGAACGGAGCTTGGAGGACGAGGGCGACCAGCATCTAGCTTTCAGGTATATTTTGTAATGGGATTCGACGGAATGGGCAGCGAACCACAGGTGCTCTATTCAAAGGCTTGATGGATTCAACTGACCCTGAAACGGTAGTATGTCGCCGCTGGGGGCACTAGGAGGCAATATAGTCGATATCTGTGTCGTTGACCAACAAGACCCAGAGAAAAGCGGAAGAAAAACTAGCTATTTGTCTGCACAGAGAAATGCAATCAACATCGATCACCTTTCTTACTGCTCTCTAGCGAATTTGGAGAGTCCATGAGACTCTCCAAATTGTGGCCCTAAGTGAACCTGTTAAAGGTCGTAAGAGGAGATCAGCTCGGAATGCTATGTTGAGCAAGATATTACCCAGAATGATACCAAGTTAGTGTAGGATGAGTCTGTAATAAAGCAGGTATGTGAAGGCCCTGAACAGGAACGCAACAGGGCCTGTTCTACTCCAAAGATAAGTTCAAAACACCCAATCGGACTCGCGTACATCGAATGTATTTATCCCTGCAAGATACCACGGCGTTTTTCCTTCTTTATTTTAAGCGCACAGGTAGTGGGATAGGAACAGCCCCGACATTTCAAACATCAATGGGGCATTTGACTGGCTGTTCGAGCAGGGCGGCCAGTTCTCTCACATCAGGGACCTGCTCCAGAGACAGGACGCACCGCTCGATCGCATCCCGTCTCTCGGGGTCCAGAATTTCCGCCGTCAGCTCTCGCCATTTGGCGATGATGTCCTCGTTGCTGACGGGCGGCATGATACCCCGAGGCGCCTCGACGCGACCCTGCACCTCGGTACCGTCTGCAAAGCGAACCGTCACGACCGTCTGCCACCTAGCCGCCTTGGTCGCGTCGAACGACTTGTTGTGCGTCGGCGTGGTCTTGCCCATCAGCTCGCGCAGCAGAAGCCGGTTGAGGCGCGACACGCCAAACTGCGCCATCGATACCTGGCGATCGACGAGCTGTGCGGCGGTGGCATACTGGATCGACATCTGCGCCGCGACGCTCGACAGCGGCTGCGCCGGGTCTGCGATCCAGCCGCCGTGCTCGAATGCGGGTCGTGCGTGCTCCGTCACGATGCTCACGATATTGGTCAGGTTGTGCGGGGCAAAAAGGTCCGGATGCGAACGCTGTAAGCCCGCGACCGTATCTATTGTTCCGTGTAAGCCGGCCATGGCGGCGTGGAGTTTGATGCGGATGCCTTCGAGTTCCCAGCGCGAGCCGAGGCCGTTGACCAGCTCCTTGGGTAATGATTTGGGTTCGAAATTCGCGCCCTGGCTGAAGCAGCTGAGGAAACCGCCGTAGGGCACCTCGTAGACCTCTTGGATTCCTGTGTAGTTTTCCTTGGCCATGAGAGCGGCAAATAGGCCGTTACGCGCCGCGAAGCCGTGTTGCATTCGTTTCGCCATGGAGCCAAACTGCGCTGACATGAGGCCACCTGTTTGTGTACATGCCATACCCAGCGCCCACTCAGTCTGTGCGCCTGACAGTCGAAGCAATGAGGCAACGGCGGCCGCCGTTGCTGAAGGCCCTTGGATGGCGCCGCTGTGCCAGCCTCTACTGAGCAAGTCGGCACCATGTAGTGCCAACCCAACCCGGGGTCCAACTTCGCACCCGACGATGTACGCTAGCAAGAAATTCGCACCTGATGAGATGGATGTATCGTGACTGTTGGTGGCGGCTGGGCTTGAGGGCGCGGCCTCCACTGAAGCCAGCAATGCCGGGATCAGCAATGCATTCGAGTGTAAAGGCGCTTTGGAATGATAGTCGTCCAGCTCAAAGCCCTGGATAAAGGTGCTGTTCAAGATGGTCGCTGCCAAAGGCGGCAACTTCTTCTCCTTGCCCCAGCCGATGAGCGTGCACTGGCCGACTCCCGAGGGTTCCATGGTACACACGCCCTTGACTGCGGTCTCGGACCACGGAAGATGTGCTGCGACCAGAGCACAGGCAACGCCGTCGAGTATCAGGTATTTGGCGCGTTCAATGATATGGTCGGGAATAGCAGACAATTTGGTGCGCGTGATCCAGTTGCATAGTTGGCCCGTGATGCCGTCGGGCTTACTGGGTTCGGTGGCATTGGCGGGTGACGATATCTCAGCGTTCGGAGCCATGATTTTCTCTACGATGATGTTGACTTCTTGCTTTACCGATCTCGCTCATAAAATGGGAAGCACTTTCGAGACAGCTTTATGCGAAACTTCTCCGATAGGGCTCGGTTTGCTCAGAATCAGACGCTTTCTCGTATTCTTTCTGGTCACAAGAAACGGTTTCGAAAGCGCAGTTCCCTTATCGAAAGAGGTCGATGGGCGTGTTGAATCATTTTGACTTGGTCTCCCTCCGGCAAAACAGTGCCCACGAGGCCGCAAGCAGCATGCACTTCGGACCGTCCTGTAGCTAAGCTCTTGTTAGACTTCTCCTTACAGGGTACTCAGAACTCTCAGATGCCTCAATCATAACAACTCCGTCCTTGCAGGAAGCGGCATCAGCAAGATCGAGCGAGGGAGGGAGATTCCCCGCCTATCCCAAGGTTAATAAGGCAAGAGTCGGTAGTTCAGGAGTGAAAAGGGGGCAAGGCTCTGTTGGGTAAGTGGGTCTCGACCAACGGCGGAGTAATAATTGGTTAAACTAACATCGGCGCCGATTGCGGCCCGGACAAAGGCTATCGGTTGATTGGTCTCCAACGCCGAGCATCGGCCTTGCTTCTCCGACCGCAAGTTTCAATGATCAAATAGACATCTGCCTGATGCCGTACGAGGTACGAACATTGAGGTGGGTAGAAAAGGTGGTCGAGTCTTGAGGTGTCGCATGTCATAGGCCGGAGAGCACATAGTAGTTATATAAAGCAAGCCACTGTTTGCTACCTATTCTGCAAGATATGGACCACCACGGCACTAATATACCGCTAAGACCGCATATGCTTCCTGATTACCGTCGACATGAAATCGCGCGGAACCAGGGTTATCCACATCAGGAACACTTGCTCGCTCGCTATTGTCCTTCAGAAGAGACATTACCAGCACATTTGATCTTTGAGAATCATATCACAATCAAGAGACCTTTAAAAAAAAATAACCCTGCCATTTCCCTGCATGCTCTCAGAATTTTCGTCTCTACGCGCAAGGTCTGCTCTTGGGGCGACAACAAAGGTGATGATGAAATGGAACATATGGCTGTCCTCCACAGGCTTTTGGAACTCTTTGCTGATCCATATGGGTACTGGATAGTGAAGAAAGATGATAAAGAAGTGCCAGTACGCCTTGCGGAGTCCTTCTTAGCACGTTCCAAGGAAAATCAGAAGTGTCGCGTATTCAATTAATTTTGGGATCAAGCTAGTTCAAGGTCGCTCTCTGCGGCAGATATGTTTGGTGGAGGGCGAAGCCAGATGTTCGAGCTGCCGGTATTGCAGAGGACTTGCGCAGCTGAGATTGCATGATGGCAGTTAAATCATTTTGCAGCGATTTCTTTTGAAGTTGTGGGAAAGATTCACTAACAGTTTGCAGACGTACGCCAGCGGAACTACCGGACAACTTTGCAAAACTGACCCACTCATCCACCACAAGACGGTTATTATAGGAGATGCTTAGACAAAGACCGTTTGGCTATCACAAATATCAGTTAGGTCTGACGATTTACATAGGATATGAGATCCTACTTGTGAACGAAATTCGACAATCCCCACTACTACGTGGCTTCTGGAAGGTTTCCTCAGGATACAACCTTGAGTGGCCAAATTTGGAGTCTAACAAGAGCCTTTGGTGATCCTTGTTGTCATTTCCCTCGAGAGCGCGGGCCAACCCCGATGATCCGGGCCAAGATATCGATGTATAGGGGCCCGCCAACGTCGACGACAGAAGGTATTGTATTATTGCTTCGACACTGGCAACCAACAGACCAAAGGATATACCCACATAATAATATGGATGCTTGAAAGGCGGCACAATGATTGCAACCATTCGTGATGACAGCCCAAACTATCAGTCAACGGGCTTGCAGATGTCAACGAAATCAACCCAGAGGTCCGTATATTAGCGTCATGCGTTTCGCCAGGATCCTAAAGACATTGATACAGGTCTGCATATATATCCGGGGCTTAACCTCGGGTCCGAAAGTGGTTAGTTGGCTCAGGAGACTTCCTTCGCCCTGATTTATGCTATCGCTATCCTGCAGAACTTGGTTTTAAAGGATTTGACCGACAAGTACAAGCTATTCTCCTTCAAGAGCGTTGACGTTGGCCACGCCAAACCCCACCGCTGCGCCTGACATCGACGAACTTCCCAGACCTCCTCTCTTTCCGCCGGCGTGATGCCAAGATGAATGCAACACAATGCTGCGACGCGGCCGATCGCCCACTTGAATCAAATCAATACATTCCTCTGTGGCCAAACTGGCATCACCGGTAACGCTTCCGTTGCCTCTTCATGGTTCCAGGTGCCTATCACTGTGGCGCTTCTCCTTCATGCCCGAACGTTCCAGCGACCGACCACATTTTGGACCTGTTGATGCCCTAGTTTGAGAAAGACGTCACCATGCAGAGCCCAAATCCTAGTGGTGTTGGACAAAGCCTGACACTGGAGGGTAGGTCACCCGATCACGTTTGCTGTTTGCGCGCATGTCTTGGGCACTGCAGAATTCGCTCCATGAAAATTCTTTCTGCCAGTATCTAGATTTCTCTTCTGTATTCATTCAATCATGTTACCGGACCTTTCTCAGTCCATCAAGTGGAGTTAAAATCACGAGAAAGCTGTGTCGATGGTCACGAAACGCGAAGCTGGTGGGTTCGAACCAGGACCGCTGGCCGTCGTACGAATATATGGGACAGAACGTGCACGGTGCTCTAGAGCCAGGTGATGAACATTGTAACGTCAGGGAGGAGGAAGAGGGATTGCATGGCACAGATGGCTATGATAACGTGGGGATTTAGTGGTGAGTAACTGACAGTGATGGCAGCTAATGAGCTAAGTTGGCAACTCAAGTGCCAAGGCGCTAAATATGGCTCGCGGTTTAACGCATCCACAAGTTGTTGGGATATGAAAACCGTACAACCTAAACCAAATACAGCCATTAGGTGGATCAAAGAATTTCCGAGGGCACTCTATTACTAATTCAATTTTCGTTTTTCTTCCATCACAACTACAAGCCTTTGAAACCCTGCGGTCCGACAACGCAATGCAGACACTTCCGATGCTAATGCTTGCAAACCCATCAAGAGGTAGGTGTATCCCTAGGCAAACCGGCCGAAGATCTCGTGCCAGGATAATTCCTACAACCCCTCAGCGGGGCTGAAATGGATAAATGGTGATTCGTATATGGTCTAAGTGGTAGATGACGAAAGAAAGAGACCTAGGTATAAAAGCCTTGTGTTCTGGAGTCTAACCTTGTTCCTTTCGATATGTGAATTCAAGTTTCCTGCACTACCCTTACTCTCTACTTAGTACCTGTTGGCCTTGTTCAAAATCGTCAAATATCTACCCGGTACAATCAATGGCGACCTCTGGCAGATCCGTCTTCCTCATTGGTCCGGGGTTCATTGGCCGGGAAGTCCTCGATCTCCTCCTTCAAGAGAACTATGCGGTGACGACGCTGATCCGTCGCGAAGCTTATGCGACTGAACTCCAACAAAGCGGCGCGAAGACCGTGCTTGGTAGCCTGGACGACCGAGATATCATCATCAACCAGACCCTCATCAGTGACATTGTCATCCACACCGCCACGGCTGACCATCTGCCCTCGGTTGAAGCTGTGATTGCAGGCATCGATCAACGTGCAAGTCAAGGAAAGCAGACCATTTTCATCCACACGAGCGGCACCTCGCTGCTCAGCGACGACGCGAAGGGCGAATACAAATCCGACAAGATCTTCTTCGATGACAAGCCTCAAGACATCGACGCTCTCCCCGACAGCGCCATGCATCGCTCGATCGACCTCGCAATCGTCCGCGCACGCAAGAGACTCGGCAATAGTGCGAAAATGGTCATCATGATTCCGCCCTTGATCTACGGCGCCAACCCCAAATATCTGCGTCTATCGATTCAGTTGCCGACTTTGACTAGGTTTGCGATGAAACACGGCTACGCAGGCTATGTCGGTAAGGGTGAATCGGTGTGGTCCGAAATCCACGTCGTGGACCTCGCTCGGGGGTATCTCACACTTTTACACTGGCTCGAACAAACAGATGCCTCCAAAATCCTCCAAAACCCTTACTTCTTCTGCGAGAACGGGCAAGAGTTCGCATGGAGAGATGCAGTGGCACAGGTGGCCAACGCCTTGCATGCTGCCGGGCGGATCGCATCACCGGAACCTAAATCAATCCCTGAGAGTGATTTTGATGATCTCTTTGGGAAGTACACGGCATGGGTGGTTGGCTCGAACTCGAGGAGTCGGGCGAACCGGCTGAGAGCGCTGGGATGGGTGCCGAAGGAGAAGGACCTAATGGCCTCCTTGGTGGAGGATGAGCTTCCGATTTTGCTGGAGGAGACGGGCGAGTTTAAAGGATATGCCGGTGTTGCTGCTTCTGGCGGATCGTAGATGGACACGATGGAGTCGATGGAGACAATTTTGTGTGGCTCGAGAAGACAAAATGCCACATTATCACTTGAATGTATATGAGAACGCAGCTCGCCTTAACGGGCGGGGAGTGTGGACTCCTACTCCAAACTCGCGAGGCCCGGTATATATCTACTGTACCAAAGCGGAAATGATCGACTGCTCGGCTATGTTTCTTTTTTTGTAAATGCGGAGAGTTGCTCGATGCGTCATTCTCGATGCCACTGTCGTGTGTCTTCATATCGAGGTAGAGAGCGTTGAGTTTTCTGATCTTCTCTGGCAACACGTCGATAGAGCTCTTTGAAATCCTCTCCCTGCCACAGACGATGACTGCACCTACTTTGACACCATGCTGAAGACTGCTCTGCGCCGGCGGGCTCTTCCCCCATCATTCCTCCAGCGACGATGGGCAACACAGGATACAGAAGAACCATTTCCTCCCGATATCAATGAGTGGTCTCATCCCCCTTCGAATGCCACCATCTCAGATGAAGAAATACAGAGACTAGCGGCACAGCCTCGACGACCTCTAACTCTAGCAGATCTAGTCAGGTATATCACATGTGCT